AGCTGTGTTTCATGTAGACAAGATGCGAACTTGTCTTCATGAAACAGTTCATAACATGGTGTCAGAAACGGAACACGAAAACGCTCGCATGTGAAGTCAAGACCGATGAACATCGTGAAACGGGAAGTACCCACAACGATAAGCGGTACCATTGCGGAACGACTGAACCTGATCAAGCGAGTAGCGTCAGCGGAAAAGCACTGCAACCAGACAGTAAAAGAACACGAGGACGTCTTCCATGGACTTGGTGAAATCAAGAGTGTCAAGTATCACATGAAGCTCAAGTCAGATGCTCAGGGTGTTACGCAACAGCCACGTACAGTCCCAGTAGCCATCCGAGACCAGCTGAAAAGCCACCTAGATGACCTCGTGCAACAGAAGGTGATTGCACAAGTGACAGAACCAACAGAGTGGGTCCACCCAATCGTGGTTGTGAAAAAGAAGGATAAACTCCGACTGTGCATCGATCCACAAGAGCTCAATAAGGTTCCCATGCGAGAGAACTACTGCATGCCTACACTGGAGGACATAGCAGCACGACTGGAGGGAGCCAAGTTCTTCTCGTCACTCGACGCAGCCACGGGGTTTTGGCAGATCAAGCTAGACACACCGAGTTCGTACCTCTGCACATTTGCAACACCGTTCGGGAGATACAGATTTCTCCGAATGCCTTTTGGCATATCGTCAGCTCCCGAGGTGTTCCAGAAGACTATGCATGTGGTGTTCGAAGGTCTCGACGGAGTTGAAATCATGGTCGACGACATTCTTATCTGGGGAAGGGCGGAAGAGGAGCATGACCGTCGACTGCAAGCCGTGCTGCAGAGGTGTCGTGAGGTCAACCTCAGACTGAACACAGAGAAATGCAAGTTCTCTCAAAGCAAAGTCAAGTACTTGGGACATATCTTGTCACCTGAGGGACTCTCGATTGACCCGACGAGAGTACAAGACATCTTTGCTCTCCCAAGACCATCAAATGTTGGGGAACTGAAGAGCTTCCTACGAGTCGTGAACTACCTTGGCAAGTTCATCGCGCACATGTCCGACACAAGTGCACCATTAAGGCAACTCTTGAAGAAAGAGGCGGCCTGGTCCTGGACAGAAGAGCACGATAAAAGCTTCACAGCACTTCGAACAGCGTTGACTGTCGCACCGACTCTGCGGTTCTACGACAAGAACAAACCAGTAACTCTGTCAGTGGATGCAAGTTCCAGAGGAACGGGTGCAGTGTTGCTTCAGGAGGGCCAGCCAGTAGCCTACTCATCGAGGTCGTTAAATGACGCCCAAAAGAACTATGCCCGGATCGAGAAGGAGCTGTTGGCGATTGTCCATGGATGCAGCCGATTTCACGACCACATTTTCGGGCAAACCGTTACCGTGGAGTCGGACCACAAGCCACTTGAGGCGATCTTCAGAAAACCTCTGAATCAATGTCCTCTCAGATTAGAAAGGATGAGACTGACCCTACAAAAGTATGACCTGCTGGTGAAGTACATTCCTGGTAAAGAGCTGTACATTGCAGACACGCTGTCAAGAAACCCTTCGAAGGAGGAAGAGGCTGAAGTCTTCGAGGTGAATGTCTTGGAGTGTCTCCCTGTGAGATGAAACACTGGAAGAATGTCGTCAAGCAATCAGCAGGGACAAGGATCTAAATACCATGCTGCAGTATGCAAAGAGCCAATGGCCGAGCAACAAAGAAGACATTCCAGGCCCATTAAAGACATATTGGCTGTACAGGGATGAAATCCATGAGGAGGAGGGCTTACTCTTCAGGTCGAATAGACTCGTCATTCCAGAAGAGATGAAGAGCACCATCTTGGCAAGGCTTCACAAAGCTCACAGCGGAGTAGAGAAGACGCTCCATCGTGCTAAAGAAGCTCTCTACTGGCCTGCAAAGCAGAATGACATCAAGCAGGTGGTAGAAAATTGCAGCGTGTGCAGGAGCACAAGCCGAGGCAGCAGAAGGAGCCACTTGTGAACCATCCAGTGCCAACCGCACCCTGGCAGATTGAGTGGACTTGTTTCAGCACTCGGGACACCACTACATTGTGTTGGTGGACTATTACTCTTTTTTCTATGAAGTGCACCAGCTTTAAAGGTCCACTGCCAAGACGATAATCAAATGTTGCCTGCAACGTCTGCCGTGCATGGTCTACCTGTCAGGTTGGTTACTGACAATGGACCACTATTCAACAGCGCCGACTTCAAAGAGTCCTTGCAGCACCGAGGAATATCACATGTGACATCCAGCCCGTATTATCCTCAGTCAAACGGGATGGCAGAGAGAGCGGTGCAAGAGTCGAAAAAACTCATGACCAAGTGCAGCTACGGAACGCCAGAGTACTACGATGGCCTACTCGAATAACGAAACACTCCCAGGGATGGAGTTCTAGGATCACCAGTTGAAAGGCTCATGAACAGACATACCAGGACGGAAATCCCTACACATCCATCTCTACTGCAAGGGACAAGCACAGACCCAAGCAAGGTACAACAGCGGCTGAGAGTCAAGCAACGAACTCGGCAACGGTACTACAACAAAGGCACCAAACCTCTACCTGAATTACACGCGGGAGAAGACGTCTACCTTCAACGGCTGTCATACTCGCTGGAGCCCCGCAGCCAAGGTCATACATTGTTCAAGACGACAAGGGCATACAGCGCAGAAGGAACAGCATCGCTCTTCGCAGGAGCCAGAGAGCGAAACAAAAACCAGCCCTCTACCGCGACACAAATTTTATTTATGAGTGAAAAAGGGAGATGTAGAGGGAGCCATCTCACCGAGGGGGAGCACGAGTATCGCGCAAGCGGCTTGGGACCGTTGACCAATGAGAGACACACACAGAGCAAGCAGCGTGACCTGCCATGTCGAGGCAAGCTTGTCGAACTCGTACTCAATACTCGGTCTTCTCAGTTGTATTAACTAGTCGTTAATAAACGCTTTCATAACAAGGTCCTGAGCTCGAAACTATCATCACCCCATCACGTCCCCCAGGGACGTAGCCCAACTCTTCGCTTCACAGTTCTCCTCTGCTTTCAGCCACAACTCCTCTACTCCAGATCCCGACCTTCTTGTGCAGACTATCGAAGCTTCCACCTCCCAACCTGTAACCTGCCTTCCAAATTTGTGCTTGTCCCTCGACGACCTGCATGAAGCTGCCCGACTGATCCGGCCCTCCCATTGTGCTGGGCCTGACCTGCTCGCCCCTACTTTCATCAAGTCCCTATTCCCTTACCTATCTTTCTCCTTGCTCTCACTTTTCCAATCCTTTCTCGACCACTCCTACGTGCCCTCCGCGTGGAAGAAGGCCCTTGTGACACCAGTTCACAAGGGTAAAGGGAAACCTCTCAACGACCCTTCCAGCTACAGGCCCATCTCTATTACTTCTATCCTCTGCCGCACTTTCGAACGCACCATCAACCAGCACCTTCTTCGTTTTCTGGACAACAACGGCCTTCTTTCTGCCTCCCAGCATGGTTTTAGGCCCAACCGAAGCTGTGAGTCAGCTCTCGCTACTATTGTTCACCACATAAGCAACAACCTGGATAACCGTTCCCCAACTGATATCATTCAACTAGACCTGTGCAACGCCTTTGATTCCCTCGACCACTCTATCCTCCTCCAGAAAATTGCACAATCCGGTATTTGTGGCCCCCTGCTGCTCTGGCTGAGCCGCTTTCTTATCGGTCGCTCCCACCGTGTATTGTTCCATGGGAAGGCCTCCGATGAGTTCGCTGTCACCTCAGGGGTACCCCAAGGATCAGTACTGGGGCCCACATTATTCCTCTTGTATGTGAACGACATGCCTTCATCGCAAGAGTGTCTGCTGGTGCAATATGCAGACGACACCACCATTCTGGCCCCAGCAGACGTACCCTCCTCCACGCCGGGTGTCCAGAGTCTCCTGGACCAGATTGCCTGCTGGGCAAGAACGAACTGCCTCTCAATTAGCTTCCACAAAAGTGCTGCAATGCGAGTCTCCAACAGCCGTTCCACCGTTCCTCCTGCATACTACTTGTCAGGCTCTCCCATTCCTAGTGTTCAGTCTCTCCCAATCCTTGGGGTTGTGTTCAGTTCAACTCTGGACTTCTCACCTCAGATTGCAGACACTGTGTCCAGGGCCCGGCGGACTCTTGGCTTTGTCACACGTGTCTCAAGGAACTGGGGACATGAAACTTTCCGCGCTCTCTACACTGCCTTAGTCCTGCCTCGTCTGGAATACTGCTGCTCCGTGTGGGGACCCTTCCAGGCTCACCTCATCGACAGGCTGGAGGGCGTGCAGCGCCGGGCTACTCGAACACTTCATACTCGGATGTTGGGCCGGCAAGTTCCTGTGCCGCCATATGAAGCTCGCCTTAGGGCCCTTGGGTGGCAAAGCCTCTGCCACCGCCGGACAGTGGCTCGGGTTGGGCTCCTTTGTAGGTTGCTCGACGGGTCCATGAGTGATACCCACCTCCACTCATGCATCAGGATCGGGAAGCGATCCGGGCAGCCAGAACTCCTGCACGCCCGAACAGTGCGCCACTCGCACTCCGTACTCCCCGCCGCCCTCGAAGACTTTCTTGCGGCCCCCCTGTCGATTCGATCTCCACTCCCCAACAACCGTGACGAGTCCGCTGCCTTGCGCCGTGCATTTTCGCGGTCAAAGCACCTAAACTGATTCTACGCCATGATCATTGTTCGGTTTCATTTTGTTTTTATTCGTTCTCTGTTATTGTTGTTTGTTTTGTTATTTCATGCCCCGGGTGGTTGGCTGACAGGCACTCTAGTGTACGGGCTCTCGCCTTTCTGTCATCGCCTCGCAAGCCACCCGGGGTTACATTGCTCTTGCAAATAAAGATTATTATTATTATTATTATTATATAAATTTCGCAAAATCGCCCAACTAAAAAAAAATAATAGGTGGCGCTAGTCACCGCCCGCTCTGAAAAACGTATTTGCATTTATTTGTTTATCTACCGATACGAACGGCGGCCAAGCCACAGTTACCTATCCGTTCAAACATCCGGTCAATGAGGTAGCATCCGGTTGTTGTAGCCCAACAACTGTGGAATAGGCGTAAGTGGTGCTGGTGCGCGTCGGCATCCCGTGCAAAACACAATGATCAAACTGTTCTCGCTAAAGCAGCAGCAAAAGGACGGCGAAGCGACCGGCAAGGCGAGCAACCAGAAACGCGCCTCGGCCGCCCAGCTGAGGATCACCAAAGACATCAACGAGCTCAACCTGCCCAAGACATGTCAGATGGAGTTTCCCGACCCGGACGACTTGCTCAGCTTCAAGCTCGTCATCTGTCCGGACGAGGGCTTCTACCGCGGCGGACGCTTCGTCTTCAGCTTCCGCGTGAGCGCCAACTACCCGCACGAGCCGCCCAAGGTCAAGTGCGAGACAATGGTGTACCACCCCAACATCGACCTGGACGGCAACGTGTGCCTGAACATCCTGCGCGAGGACTGGAAGCCCGTGCTCACCATCAAATCCATCGTCTATGGGCTCCAGTACCTCTTCCTCGAACCCAACCCGGAGGACCCGCTGAATAAGGACGCCGCCGAGGTGCTGCAGAACAATCGGAGACTGTTTTTAGCAGCCCCTTCCGGCGACTGAATTCAAACACGAGGGAAGGAGGTTTGTTGCGCCTTTTACTTATTATTATTTTTTTCTTCTGATGCAATATTCCCACTATCACTTGGTACGTTATGATTCACTCCGTGATGTTGTAAGTCCGCGTGAGGAGCTACGCCTCGGCGGAAACCAGCTGCGCTCGCCGAGGGTTACCTGGGGACCAAGCATGCTAGACAAAGGGCTTGTTCTCACGCGACATTTTATTAACAAAGCCGCGTGTTACAGCGATGGATTTCAAGAGTTCCTGCAATTAGGGTGGTTGAGGAAAGGGAGAGTCTTTCTGTGAACAAACTCAGCCCCAACAGACGTCAGAATTTGCGAGAACCATACTAATTAGCTAAATAATTAACTTGAATTTACTATTAAAGACGCAATTTAGTTTAAATAAAAATATGGTTTTCCGTGAAAAACTTGCTAAGCATTATCAAAAACCACTAAATCAACTTTTTCTTCTTTTTTTTTTAATATAAGGCAGGGGCAGCATTTTACGGCGTTCTGAAAAAGCACGCAATTAGGACGCGTTTCTAGATTTCGGTTTCTTCTCGGAGCGCATCTCTGCGCCCGCGGTCCAGTTTCCCATTGGCCTAGACGCACAGCACACGTGCGCCCTACTTCCATCCTTCCTACGAGAGAGGTGAGGCCGCGGCTTCGCTGCTCACGGGCACCGGAGGGCAGGGCGTAGCTTACGCAAAAAGAAAGAAAAAAAAAAGCTTTAAAACGTTTTAAAATTTAACGTTTTTTTTTTTTTAAACGTTGTAAAATAGTGTTCTTGTCTTACATCCTTCTAAAATTATTTGACTGAGTGGTTATCGATTGTTTAGCAAGTTTCTCATTGGAACAATATATGCCTAGTTTTACTAACTAAAAAGATAATTAGTAAATTTTATATCATTTAGCCAATAAAAATGTTTTTTTTTTGCCTTTTTGACGTTTGTTGTGGGTGGAAGTTTGTTCCCGGAAAGAGTTCTCGCTTTTCTAAAGGACCCTAATTTTAGAGATTGTCTAAAGCCTTATCTAAAACACCCGGTATATTCAAAAATACAAAAGAGTTCAACAAAAAGGACGGACTGGACAAAAATCTTTCGAAAAATGTTTCTCCTGTCCGCCCTTTTTCTCTAATTCTTTCGTATTTTCTATTCTGTTACAAACTCGCTCAATCCAAGTTTACCCGGAATATGTTTGAACAGGAATACTATGAGCAGACAACCAAGACAGCCAGGGCCACAGTTTACAATTATGATCAACCACGTTACACATGAAGCGCGCTCCGATATATAAAAATCTTTGCTTGTCCACATATCTATAAGATTGGTATACAGGGTGCCCAGTTTAGCCGGTCCATATTTTTGTCTAAAAATTCTCGAATGCTACACTAACGCGGCCTTTTTAGGCGAGTTACACGGCCAGGATTACATAGTATAGGGGACTGTTTTTCACATTACTTCAAACAATTAACTAAAATTTGTTCATTAACTTTTGGATGACTGAAAATATACCAATGATTTTCATTAGAAACTTGCTGAGCGTAATCGAAAACCACTACTTCAGTCATTGTTTAGAGATACCTGAAGCACGTAGGAAGCACGGGAGTGATCTAAAGTTATCGCTCGTGAAATAGGCGCAAGAATGACAGTAAGAAAACGCGGAAAATAACCTTAGCATCTGCGTTTTCGCCCCACCAGGCTTCTGCCTGTTCCATGAGTAATAATCTTAGCGCCCCCCCCCCCCCCCGCTTCCATCCTGCTTTTTCTTCCCCCTAAAATTGTCTGATTTACTTGTCGTTCAATACTCTCAGTGAGATTCTAATTGAAACCCCATGTTTACTTGTTCTGAATAAAAAGTTAATTGACACAATTAAATAACACAATTTGGATAATTATTTGGCATGAGTAGTCCCTTATAATACGTTTCTCTGGCCTTATAGACCACATGCGCAGACCGTATTAGTTCATTCGCTTGAGTGAAATCTATTGAGGGCCTTCCTTCACATAGACAGCAAGGTAAATGGGCACGTATTATTTTATAGTGCGTTATAAATGAAGTGCCTCCCGTCCTGCTTCCGTTTAATTTCCGCTTTCTAGCGATTTCCGGGGTTAGAAGTCTTAAATGGTACGTCATTTGCATTTTTTAGTCGCTTCAAAAGTGGCGGGCGTGGCTTGTTGTGTCATTTGGCTGCAAGCTCTGTATTTTGCAGTATTGCCATTTATGGCGCGTTGTACTCCGGATGAATTTCGTGTAGCCTGATTTATTTTTGCACTCGGTATTGTCTTTGACAGGCTCTGGCCGTTCAACACCGAGTTCCACCAATTGCACAAGACGACCCAAGGACGTCATAAAACGCCTTCGAGCAAAGGTTTACAGTTACACGAAGACAATTGGAAGGCTGCAGCGGAAGGAACAGAAGCAGAAGCCTCGGTCAGTTTGAGAAGCTCTCGAAATGGTGCCTCCTTTTGTGTGTGAACAGGTGTTTGAACTGATCTCGTCACAGGCAAAATTACGGTGCAGGGGACAGCAAAAGCGGTTCCCACTGTGGCTCAAGAAGTTTGCCTTGCACCTAAAGTTTCATGGTCCCCAGGCGTACCGTTTCTTGTCGTCACATATAACGCTTCCCACACAGCGTTCTTTGCGAAGGTGGCTGTCAAACGTAAAAATGACTCCAGGTATCATACCTGGTGTCATGCCCTTCACCAAATCCCAAACGCGGTCTTGGAACGCTCGGGATCGTGTGTGTACTTTGATTTTTGACGAGATAGTGCTAAAAAAGAACTTATCTTATGATGTCACGCACGACATTGTTCATGGATTTACCGATGACGGTGCAGAACGAACTTCCACCAGTGCAGACAGAGCCCTGGTTGTTCTGCTCTCTGGAATTTCTAAAACGTGGATGCAGCCTCTTGCATACACTATTGGGCACACATCCACACCGTCCTCTGTCATCCGCAATCTCCTAATTTCACTGACTCAGGAACTTAAAACTGTTGGAATCACAATAAAGGCTGTCGTGTGCGATCAGGGAGCGTCCAACGTATGCTTGGCCAACCAGCTAGGTGTGTCTGTTCAAAAACCAATTTTTGAAGTTGAAAATGAACACGTTTGTTTCATCTTCGACGTTCCACACCTCATCAAGACAACTAGGAATAACCTTCAAGCGCACAAGCTTTGCATTGGAAGTGAGGTCGTTGACTGGACGTGTGTAGTTCAACTTTATCGTTCAAACCACGAGATGCGACTGCGTTTGTCACCAAAACTGACTGAGCGACCTATATTCCAGAAACCTTTCAGTAATATGAAAGTTAAGCGTGCAACACAAGTCCTGAGCGCCTCAGTGTGTTTAGCAATTCTATTCCTTGTTTCTTCCAAGGAGCTTCCGGCCGCAGCCATGGTTGCAGCATACTTCTGCGATCGTATGGACAAACTGTTTGATTGCCTAAATAGCTCAAAACTCAAAAAGACGGGGCAGAAGTTGCGCTATGGCATTCTGAAAGGAGAATCGGAGCTGGTTGATTTCCTTCACCAGCAGCTTTTGTGGATTGCAACATAGAAGTTTCAGGGTAGGAGGCAACCCCAAACCGTGACAGGGTGAGAAATTACTATAAAGAGTTTCCTCATGCTCTGGGAGGACCTTTCAACCAACCACGACTTTCAGTTTTTGCTTACACGACGACTGCAGCAAGATGCGCTCGAGAACATGTTCGGAACAATCAGACAAAAACAGGGATGCAACACGTATCCCAATGTATACCAGTTCACTTCGGGTCTGAAGCATATAGGGATAAAAAAAAAAAACTCTTTAAACTCTCGAACAGTGGAAACGTTGAGGATGACAAGGCTCACCTCCTGCACAAAATGTCGATATTTTCACTCAATGAAAGTTCAATTGTTGATAACATAGAATGTCCTCAAGTTGAGAACTTCCCTCCACTAGAAGACATTTCTGAGCTGGCATCAGATATAAAGTCAAACATTATTGACGATTCCGCCACTTATTACGTTGGAGTTATCTCATTAAACGTTTCCTTGAAAAGACGACACAGAGTTGTGTTTGTTATGGGCTACTCAAAGGCGAGTCCTGTAACCTGACCAGATCCCACAAAGCATATCATGTACCTGGTAAAGTCTTTTGAAACCTAGTCGTACCATCAGACGCTGCCTTTAATTTCATTTAGCAGCTAGAGCATCACTTTCTTGCCATAATAGAGCGTATGGCTCATGTTTGCGGAGTGTGTGCTGCCTTGTTTCACACACTTTCAGGTGTGGGTGCTTTTTGCCTTTGCTCCGAGGAATGCCACAGCAGGTTTCTGAATATGTTTTGTTTGATACGCTTGTCTTGGCACGTCTGTTTTATTAACCGCAACTTGGACAAAGTTCGGTTGCACTCTTCGGAGGCGGGTAGGCAACTGGACAAGTTCAACGGCTAATTCTAAATATTTCTTGGACAGAAGTGGTTTTCCAGTTAACTGCAAGTAGAGCTTATTTTTTGGGTAGCAAAGCTTGCTCTTCAAATCTTTGTCGCACTTAGTGCATATTGTGTTTCAGTGAAGGTGCTCAAAAATCCCTAGAAATATGCTTTTCGAGATAAAAGAAACTATTTTCGGGCACAAACTTGCAGCCTCGGTGGACGCCGGGGATTGCATAAAACATACTAATTAGCTATAAGTAGCACACATTTACTCGTTCTTTCGAATCATTGGCTTTATTACCCATGATGCACTTGGAAGTTTCAAGACACCCACGGGAAAAGCAAGATTAATTTACAGAACAGAAAAAGATTCAACCGGCTTGGAGATATTCATAGACAACTTTTGGCCATCTCCACAAGGATTTCGAAATTCTACGCAAACAGGGCCCACGTTTGGAATTCGCGCCAAGAAAGGCCAAAATGTATTGATGAAAATCTTCAAGCCGGTTGCACCTTTTTAAATTCTGTAAATTGTTTTCTCTCTTTCCGGTGGGTGTCTTCAAAATTGGTACTGCAACAT